ACTTCCCCAAGGAGGACATACAGAAGATCCAGAGACACATGAAGAAATGCTCAATATCGCTAGCTATCAGAGAGATGCAAATTAAAACCACAGTGAGATACCACTTTACACTAGTCAAAATGGCTATCATAAACAAAGCAACCAACAACAAATGTTGGAGAGGGTGTGGGGAAAAGGGGTCCCTAGTTCACTGTTGGTGGGATTGCAGACTGGTACCAGCATTATGGAAAAAAGTATGGAATTTTCTCAGAAAAATAAAAATCAACCTGCCTTTTGATCCAGCAATTCCACTGCTAGGATTATATCCTAAGAACCCCAAAACATCAATTTCAAAGAACCCCAAAACATCAATTTCAAAGAACCTATGCACCACAATGTTCATAGCAGCACAATTTACAATAGCCAAGAGCTGGAAGCAACCTAGGTGCCTGTAAGTAAATGAATGGATCAAAAAATTGTGGTACATATACACAATGGAATTCTATGCAGCAGAGAGAAAGAAGGAACTACTACCCTTTGCAACAACATGGATGGAACTGGAAAGCATTATACTGAGTGAAATAAGCCAGGTGTTGAAAGACAAATACCATATTATCTCACCTTTAACAGGAAGCTAAACAACAAAACAGACAAGCAAAATAAAAACAAATACACTGAAATAGAGAACAGGGGGACTGCGACCAGAGGGGAGAGGGGAGGGAATTTAAGGAGAAAAAAACGGGAGGGATTTAGAGAAACAAGTATAAAGGACACAGGGCAATAACTAAGGGGGGTAGAAATGGGAGGGAGGTGGGGTGCATGGGGGAGGGGTGGGCTGGAATGGGAAAAATAAACAGAAAACTGTACTTGAAAAATAACTAAATAAAATTTTTAAAAAGATTAATTAATTAATTTATTTATTTATTCATTTACTTATTTATTTTATAGAGAGGGGAAAGGAGGGAGAGAGGGAAAGAAACATTGTGTGGTTGCCTCTCACACACCGCTGGCCTAGAGACCTGGCCTGCAACCCAGGCATGTGCCTTGACTGGGAATCAAACTGGTGACCTTGGTTTGCAGGCCAGCACTCAGTCCACTGAGCCACACCAGCCAGGGCTATTTGTGGGACTTCTTTAAGCTGGTTTGTACCTCTGGCATATGACTTTAATTGTACCCTTCCTAATATAGTGTTAGTTCTCTAATTTTACACAGGTTCAACCATTGATAGATAATCATGGCCTTGGGATTGGAAAAGATAATAAACAGTTCAGACTCAAAGAACATCAATATTTTTATATCAAATATACACCAAAAGCTGACAAATATTTAAAGGGAAATTGACAAAACCTCTCTTTTGGTGGGAGATTATAATACTTCTATCATACTATATAAATGATACCAAAAACCCATAAGGATACAATAGATTTAGAGAGCATAGTTAATAAGCTTGATCTAGGGACTTCCGCCAAGATGGAGACGTAGGTGGAGGAACCACCTTGCCTCTGTGCACAACCAAATCTAAGAACAACTATTTTTAACAGCAGTCACAACCAAGCCACACGGAAAATCGACAATACGGAGTCCAAAGGACAACTAGATACTCAGCTGGACCGGTAGGAGGAGCGAAGCCAGCAGCGGAACATGTTAGCAAGAAAAATTCCCGGGTGGTGCGAGGTGAGCGCGCAAGCAGCCGAAAGCACTGTCGGCGGGCTGTCTGTGGTCAGTCGAGCACCTGCGTGCGGAGAAACCAGTGAGAAGGGAAGCCTGCGTGGGGCAGCAGGCTCGCACAATTCCGATCGGATAAACAGGCCCGAGGCGAGTGGTGTGACTGGACGGACTGGGCTAGCAGAGAGGACCGCCATTGCTCCCTCTCTGACCACGCCCCCACACACAGCGTCACAAACCAGCCACCTGGGTTGCCCCATCCTGGTAAACAACTAAGGCTTCGCTCCGCTTACTTAACGGCACGAATAGACCAAAAATGGCTCTAGGACAACTCAGAGCCCCAGAACCGATAGATCTAAGCGATGAAGAAATAGCCAGTCTTTCAGATGCACAGTTCAAAACACTGGTTATCAGGATCCTTACAGAACTGGTTGATTTTAGTCACAAATTAGAGAAACATATGGAAGCTAAACTAATTGAAATGAATGGTAATACAAAGGAAACCAATAGTAATGGAAAGAAAATTGGGAGTCAAACCAAGGGAGTGGACCAGAAGGAAGAAAAAAAATGATCAAACAGAAAAGAATGAAGGAATAAGAATTCAGAAAAATGAGGAGAAGCTTAGGAACCTCCAGGACATCTTTAAACGTTCCAACATCCGAATTATAGGGGTACCAGAAGGGGGAAAGGCACAGCCACCAGTGGAAAACTTATTTGAACAAATAATAAAGGAGAATTTCCCCAAGCTGGCAAAGGAAATAGACTTCCAGGAAATCCAGGAAGCTCAGAGAGTCCCAAAGAAGTTGGACCCAAGAAGGAACACACCAAGGCACATCATAATTATATTAGCCAAGATTAAAATGGGAGAGAATCCTAGAAGCAGCAAGAGATAAGGGGACAGTCACCTACAAAGGAGTTCCCATCAGACTGTCAGCTGATTTCTCAAAAGAGACCTTACAGGCAGGAAGGGGCTGGGAAGAGGTATTCCAAGTCATGAAAACCAAAGATCTACAACCAAGATTGCTCTACCCAGCAAAGTTTTCATTTAGAATGGAAGGACAGATAAAGTGCTTCTCAGATGAGGTCAAATTCAAGGAGTTCATCATCACCAAGCCCTTATTATATAAAATGTTAAAGGGACTTACCTAAGAAAAAGAAGATAAAAAAGATGAACAGTGAAAGGACAGCAAACTCACAGTTATTAAGAACCACACCTAAACCAAAAGCAAACTAAGAGGACAGCTATCTCAGGAGCAGAACCATAGAAATGAAGATCTCATGGAGGGTTAGCAACAGGGGAGTGGGAGGAGGGGAAGGGGGGAGAAGGTCCAGAAAATAAGTAGCATAGACAGTAGGTAGAAAATAGATAGGGGGAGGGTAAGAATAGCAGGGGAAATACAGAATCTAAAGAACTTGAGACACGTGTTCATGAACTAAAGGGGGAAATGGTGGGGGAGGGGTATGCAGGTTGGAGGGGAATGGAGGGGGGGAATAGAGCAAATGTAATGGCATAATCAATAAAAAAAGTTAAAAAAAATAAAGTATGTTGTTACTAAAAAAATAATAAGCTTGATCTATTGCCAGCTGTATGTACAGTGTGGTATTCACAATGGAGGATCCTTTTATTTCCCTCGAATACTCATGGAAAAGTTACACACACATTTTGGAATATATTTTATATCTATACAAAATATATAAAATGCAATTATAAGAAAGTATCTCCATGGGTTAGTTATCAAATATAACTGCATAATACCAAACAAGAAGGATATGTCATGGGAATCTACTCCAGAATTGTCATCCAGATCTCCTGATTGTACTCAAGGCTTAAGGTTCTATACACTGAATTAAGAAATGTTCTTCTGTACTCCCTTATTTTAGTTCTGAATCTATTTTTTAATCCCTATTTTAGCTCTACTTTATCTCAGACTCTCTTAATTCTATGAAATGACAAAAAGATTCTTTGCTAACTCCTTTCTAGAAGTCCAAAATAGAAATTAAGCTGCTCTTCCATCCTAATTGAATCTTTCTCTTTCCTCTGGCATATAACTCTAATTAAAATAGATCAGACTGTATCTGGATGCTAGTTTCCTTAGTCATTGAAATGACCTTGGGTTTACTATACATGTATTGTGATGTAACTTCTGTATAGGAGAGAAAGTTATCACAATTATTTAATTTTTATTACATTTGCTTTTCCTCAGTTTTATGTGTTTCTGAAGCTTCCTTAATATCATTTATAAAATAAATTTAGATAGTTCTATTAAAATGCTAAATTATTTTTAAAATAATATATACAGTATAATAGATTGATTTCTGGTATTGTATTTTAACAGAAACTTTTACTGTTAAATTTCACTTTTTTCTCTTATGTATGTTTTTCTCAATGGCATTTTCTTCATGATGTGTTAAATCTCATGCCTGTGATCTCTCACAGTTATTGGTAAGATTTTAAAATATCAGCTGTGTGTCAGTTAAATTTATAAATATACTAGACTGAATTGCTGTGTGGTAAAGCTGAGATGCTATTAATTAAAATATGAGCCAAGAAAACATGTTATTTTATGATGATGATTTGAAAAGCCAGATATTGGCAGACTTACCCCATTTTTAGAAGAGTGTACTAGGAAAACACTCATTTCTATCATGCTTATTTCTTTTTCTTTCACTGGAGCTTTTAAAAAAATCATGTAAAGTGCCCTGGCCATGTGGCTCAGTTGATTGGAGCATCAGCCCTTACACCAAAAGGTTGCAGGTTTGATTCCCAGTCACAGCCTCTATGGGAAGCAACCAGTTGATGTTTTTCTTCTCTCTGTTCCTCTCTCGCTAAAATCAATAAACATATCCTGCAGTGAGGTTAAAAAATTCATGTGAAGTAACAGGCTCCAGATAATTCACTTTTTAAATAAAAATAATATCTAGTAGAGAATTTTCAAGAAGAGATGGGGTAAAATCTTCAGTATAAAAATAATTTTCTGGGAAACTACCTTTTTGATAAACAAATCCTTAGTAATTTTCCCTAGCCATCCATAAAAATTGTATTTTTTATTCAAATTAATCAAATAACAGATTTTAATAGCTGCATCTGTAATGCTTCACCTTAACCTAAATTCTTATCACATACTAGTTTTGTACTGTAATGTGCTAATTTTTAGAACAGCTGAATAATTAAGCTTTAAAGCTCATTGTTATTTTTCTTCTTGATTGAGCCATCTGTCAGAAACAAAAGCAAAGATAAAAATCTCATTGAGCCAAAAAAAATTCTGTATTGCTTAACATGTCTGTTAAGGAGATGCATTTATCTGGAAAGAAAATAATGCTGCACTTCAAAGAAAATTTTTGTTACTTCTTTGCAGATGGGGAACCCAAGGCGACTTCACCACTACCCATCCTCGGCCTGTGGTCAAAATAAAGCTCTTCACAGAAAGCACTGGAGTCCTGGCCCTTGAAGATAAAGAACTGGGAAGGGTGAGTTATAGTCAGCTATGTGTTTCTGAGGTCATACAATTTTAATTTCCTTTGATTTGGAGTTAAAGTGGACCAGTATGCATTGTGTGAACTTTATGTTCATAAATTACATAAAATAATTGATTTTCAGTTCCTCATGAGCCCAGCTCGCAGCTCTACTTTATTAAACATGGTTGTCAATAACATGCTATTGTGATAGGCATTGGGTGTGTAATAAAAGGTACATATGAATTGTAGTCACTCAGTCATTCTTCTCACACACATCCTCCACAGGCCAACTTGTACCTCTTGGTAAAAGATAATTCTCATTAAAATATTTCTGCCCGTGGGTTAAAAACATCATCTTTATATTTAAAGTCATCTGCTCTTTATGTTTATTATGATTGGACTAATTATAGACCTCTCTTAAATGTATTTATCTCTTGTCTCTCCCATTTTCCCTGTAAGAAGGTCTTCCTAACCCTTATTTTAACATTGAATTCCTTTTTTTCTTATAGTAACCTCCTCATACCTAGAATATATTTATCCTCTAATTCCAGGATATCTTTACTCAGCTTTTTCTAGCAGTAAAAGCATTAAAATTAGGGTAGATTTGTGATCTTAGCACCTCTCTGAGTGAAAAATTGTCTTCTGTCTTGTTCACAAAGTACATGTGCTCCAGCTCTAAAGTTAGCATCTGTGTCATGGATCTTTCTTGCCCAGCCCTGAGCACTGGAGTCACAGATATTTTCCATGGAATAAAACCTTCACAAATCTTACTCAAAATTTCTTCTGATGATGGACTACTTGCAATGATCCTTGTGACGCTAGGATCTTTGTGTACACTGGAATTTTTCCCCACAATTGAGATTTCTATTCATTTCAAATCCTCATCTTTTATGTGTCCTTTGCACCGCTGAGTGTTCTCATTGCTAAGGATTTTATGAATCTATACCCACACTCCAGAGATTATGGGCCTGGACTCACATTCCAGATTCTCTCTTCTGTTGCCTTGTTGCATGTATTTGTTAATAACTAACAGAGCTAAGCCATACTGTTCATTTACCCATATGCTTGAATTTATTCATTTAATCTAACAACAGAGTCCTGCAGATTATACATGGTTTGATGGATTTATGAATCAGGAATTTTTATTTGAACTAATACTATATTTTTACTTTATTTACTTGTAACTATTTTTCACTGTCCGATAGCAACTATTTGAAGTCTAATGCTATAACGTAATTCTTCAGGTACTCTGAATTTATTTCTCAGTTGGCTAAGCATATATTTAAACAATTTTTAAATTGTGTACCTAAGTGGCATATTTTCCAATCAGTTTGTATTCTGAGAAAGGCCTACGCACCCTTCATACAAGAAAGACAACTTTTGCCCTGGCTGGGTAGCTCAGTTGGTTCGAGCATCATCCTGATACACCAAGGTCGCAGGTGCAGGGCACATACAGGAAGCAATCACTGAATGCATAAATAAGTGGAACCACAAACTGATCTCTCTCTCTGTCCCCCTATTTCCCTCTTTTCCTTCTTTATCCCCCCGCTCTCCCGTTCCTTCTTCTTTCTCCCTCTAAAAATCAATGAATACTTTTTTTAAAAAGGAAAACAACTTTTTGTCTGTACAAGAGTTTCTCAGTCTCAGTACTATTGATATTTTCAGCAGGATTCTTTGTTGTTGGGTGCTCTCTTTTGCACTTTATGGTATTTAGCAACATCCTACTCAGTGCATGACAGCATTACCCCTCCACCCTTAAGACATTAAAAAATGTCTTCAAATGTTGCCAGGAGTACCTTTCTGGAAGGTGTGCAAAAACCACCTCTGCTTGAAAACCATTGATCTAAACTAATGACCTGTATACATTCTATGACTGTAAATATTATTTGTGTGTTAATGACTTCAGTTTTTTTTTAATTTTTATTCTTTGGAGCTGCAGATTTATATATCCAATATGCATACTTGGTATCTTTAATGGTATGTTAACAGATATCTCAAACTAAGTGTTTTTGTCCCATAAGGTCTTCCATAGAGGTAGTTGTCAAGCCAATGACATTGACATTCCCTTTGATTTCCTTCCTTCATTCTAATACCCAATCTTTTTGCAAGTTCTGTCATCCTTTTCCTAAATTTATCCTGAATCCATCCACATCTTAACATCTCCTCTACCCTAATTCAAGACACCCTGATTTCTCACACATAATAACTGTGGTAATGGGCTGCTTAACCACTTTACCATTTATTGTCTTGCCCCTCTGATGTAGTTTTTAACAATCTCAGTCGCTATGATCTGTGTAAAGTTCAAAACTTACCACATCATTCTGTCCTTAAAATCATCCACTGTTTTCTCATGTCTTTGAAATAGAAGTCAGGCTCCTTGTTGTAGTGTAGTGTGGCCAAGAGGGTGTCTCAAGCTGGGACCCTGGATCAGCAGCGGCAGCAACACCCTGAAGACTGAGATGCTGATCTGAAGCCCCCCTAGATCTGCTGCACCATCAAGTCAGGGGTTGGCCTGCTGCCCTCTGTTTCAACAAGGCCTTCTGGTAACAAACACCAACAATTAAGAGCACTGCTCTGTGTGAACTGAACTCTCTCTCTCCAAATTCGTCTGCTAGTTTGGTCCTCTTGCTTACTATCAGCCTCTCTGCACACTTGGTTTGCTTTCTGTTCCTCAAACATGCCATGCTCATCCCAGCTTTAAATTTTAGGTCTTTAGAAGTGTTACCCTCTGAGCACATGTGTGCACATACACAGTTAGAAGAAATTGGTAATAATATCTGAATGCTAGGGCTGTTGATGATGTATCCTATGTATGTGTCTGCTATTATACTTAGAAACAGAACTTTTTTGTTAAAGATTTCATTTATTTATCTTTAGAGGGGAAGGGAAGGAGAGAGGGAGAGAAATATCAATGTATGGTCGCCTCACATGTGTCCCCTGCTGGGAACTGGCCTGCAATCCAGGCGTATGCCCTGACTGGGAATTGAACCATGATCCAGGGCAGAACTTTTTATTTAATAAGAAAAAAAAACCTGATATGATCTGAAATCTACAGTTTAAAATTTTATAAACATATACCTGGGGATCCTAGTTTTTAAAGTAGACTTTTAAAATTAAAATTTTAGGTAGCATTTGTATTTGAAAGATGAGTAAAGACCCCTTAACACATATTTATGCCACAAGAATATACCACTATATATCTAATAGAGTGTCTAAAGTACAGGAAAACCAACAATAAAAAATGCTGGCAAGGATGCGAACAATAGACTCTTATTCTTTGCTGGTGGAAATGCAAAGTTGTACAGCCATTTAGAATACAACTTTCCAGTTTGTTATAAAGCTGATATCCTAGGTATTTAAACAATGGTTTATGATGTTTGTCCTATATGTAAATGTTTGTAAGTTTTCATAATTGCTAAAAACTAGAGGCAATAAGATGTCCTTCAACAGAGGAATCAGTAAACAAACTGTGGTACATCCATAGAGTGGAATACTATTCAGCAAAAAGAAGATACAAACTATTCATGCAACAATATAGAGAAAACTGAAATGCAAGAGAAGGAAGTAAGACTTAAAAGACAATATACTGTATGATGTTATAGAAAGAGCAAAACTATGGGAATAGAAAACAGATGAGTGTTTTCCAAGGACTGATCAAGGGGGAAGTGGTTGGCTACAGAGGGGTAGACAGGTGAAGGAACCTTCTCTGTGGTTCTGGGTGTTGGCCACAGAACTGTATATATTTGCAGACACCCATAGGACTCTGCATCACGAAGAATGTACTTTAAGTTATGCAAATACACACATACACACCAGCACCAATCAGCGAACCAGGAGTGTCAAGGGTATCCCATCACAGAATACAGACTATGACAAATGAACTTAATTGTATTACAAAGGTATGCTTACCTTCACTGAAAGTGTTGTAGAACTTTGCCACTGATGTTCTGGAACAGCTGCGGGATTTGATTGTCAGTCACCAAGAAGCATGAATTCCAATGCATGAATTTGGTGAAAAAAGGGAAGAGGTTGTTTAATTACAAATTATACAGATTCAGAATAATGGCAGATTTCTGCCAGTAAGTACCACTCCCTTTAAAACACCCCAAAACACATAATCCTGCCCCTCTTTGCCAACCCAGCCAATTTACAAATATGTCAGTCAGAGGTATTGTCTTTCTGAAAAGCAGAAATCTGTGGCTCAGCATTCCCAGTCACACACAGTTCAGCATTCTAGGCATCTCCCACTAATTTGTGCTTGGTTAGGCAGGTCCCCCTGCAGTGCCATCTGCTCTGCTGCCTTGTTCTCCAGGCAGGTTTCCCAGCAGATCTCCTCTTTCTTATGCCAGTTCTTAATCCAAAACTGTGTGACACCTCCTTACACACCAGACCTCATGGCTGACAGGGCTGCCCTTCTACACCCTCTGAAACAACATGGCTGCTCCCTACGCTTTTCGTTTTCATGGCAGAATTCTCCTGTTTCCTGGCTCCTTCTTCGTGGCTGCCTCTCTCTCTCTCTCTCAGCCCACACTCATTTTAAATGCTGACTGGGAACTTCCTACATGACCTCATATCTGGTCCTTCCTACAGTGTGCTACTTTGCCAGTTCCCCCATATCTCGTACTTTCTTTTGGCTGCCATCTTTAGTCAGGGCAAGAGTTCCCCATGACACAGGGATGTCCAGCTCCCTGCATCTCATGCAGGAGATGTATAAGTTCCCCCAGCTATGTAACTTTCAGGCTATATATGTAACGATTCACTATATAGCCTGAAAGTCACATAGACCTTCTACCTGGGGCAGCAGCACAGCTATCAACTAGCTATCAACTTGCCATTGTTATGAAAAGTATCTTAACCACTGTATAATCCTTCCCCCCATCCCCCAACCATGGGCTATGGGGAATATTTTCAGGGACCCCTGCTCTGTATCCCGTTTCAAAATGGTGATGAGAAAACTACTTGAGCAACCAAAAAAGAAAAGGTAACCTACAAACACTACCTTAACCAAGTAA